GGCCATCGCTAGTAGGTTGGAGGCCATTGCTCTTAGGTTGGAGGCCACCGCTCGTAGGTGGGAGGCCATCGTCTTAGGTTGGAGGCCATCGCTCTTAGGTTGAAGGCCATCAGCAGTAGGTTAGAGGCCATCGCTCTTAGGTTAGGGGCCATGGCTCTTGGGTTGGAGGGCCATCGCTCTTAGGTTGGAGGGCCATCGCTCTTAGAATGGAGGCCATCGCTAGTAGGTTTGAGGCCATCGCTCTTAGGTTGGAGGCCATCACTCTTAGGTTGGGAGCCATTGCTCTTAGGTTGGAGGCCAACGCTCTTAGGTCTTAGGTGGGGGGCCATCGCTCTTAGGTGGGAGGCGATCGCTCTCAGGTTGAAGGTCATCGGCAGTAGGTTGGAGGCCATCCCTAGTAGGCTGGAGGCCATTGCTAGTAGGTTGGAGGCCTAGGTTGGATGGCCATCGCTCGTAGGTTGGAGGCCATCCCTCTTAGGTTGGAGGCCACTACTCTTAGGATTCAGGCCATTGATTGCTCTTAGGTTGGAGGCCAGCATCACTCTTTGGTTGGAGGCCTTCGCTAGATGGCTGGATCTTAGGTTGGAGGCCATTGCTTGTAGGTTAGAGGCCATCGCTAGTATGTTGGTGGCCATTGCTCTTAGGTTGGAGGCCGCCATTGCTCTTCGGTTGGAGGCCATCGCTTGTAGGCTGGAGGCCATCCCTCTTGGGTTGGAGGCCATAGCTAGTAGGTCAGAGGCCGCCATCGCTCTTAGGGTTGGAGGCCATTATTCTTTTGGAGGTCATTGCTAGAATAGGTTGGAGGCCATTGCTCTTAGGCTTGAGGCCGCCATTGCTCTTAGGTTGGAGGTCATCGCTAGTAGGCTGGCCATCCCTCTTGGGTTGGAGGCCATCGCGCTTAGGTTGGAGGCCATCGCTCTTGGGTTAGAGGGCATCGCTCTCAGGTTGGAGGCCATCGCTAGCAGGTTGGAGGCCATTACTCTTAGGTTGGAGGCCATTGCTATTTAGAGCGATGGCCTCCGACCTATAGGGGCACAGAGGTCAAAGACACCTAACCCCAGCTAAACAATTGTTCAAGTACTTGTACAGGTTTCGCATCTGGATGAGGCGCTTATTGTGAAACAGTCTATGTGGCACATGCGACACCAACCCAAAGTCTGTGAGAAATTTGTGAGGTCACCTGCCTCCGCATGGACTTGGAGTCACTCCGCCACGAGATGTCTGCGATGGAGGTGGAGCTGGTGCATGTGAGATCCCAGAATGCTGTTCTTCGGGATGACTTTGATTTGAATGGGCAGGCAGGACGAGCAACACGGGAGAACTAGACGGGAAACAACATGTGAACGGCAAAAAAGGCACAGTCGTGAGGACATGTGAAAGCGGGACGTGGACGCTACTAGGAGCGATCGGACGCTACTAGGTCTCAAAACAGTTTGTGCAAAGGCTTTGGGGTTGCTTGTGACTCCATTGACCGAGGGTTTTTCACCTTCCAGTTGGAACTGGTAAGTCTGAAACGGTATCTTGATCCTTGGGATAGCAAAAAACCAGACAACTCACTAGCGCAATACAGCGGCAGTCTCAAGATGATGCTGTTTAAACCATTCTGGCCTCAAGCAAGCCTGGGACTCCAAAAAAGACATGACGTCTACATGTTTCATGTGAGACAAGCAGCCGTTGTGCAATTTCCAGCTTGAAACTTCCTTTAGCCGTGAAAACATGTCCCCCAAACCTTGATGAATGATGATAAGAAGTTCATTAAAGGAAGGCTCCTCTACTGAAGAATGCTTGACTTGCACAGGGAAGGAGGTCTTGGATAGTTGGGGGTTTGAGGTGAAGGATGGACATTCCGTAAAAGATGCGATTTTTATCAAGGAAAAGGTCTTGACAATATGATCAAATCAGAAGTTTTCTGTTCAGAAGAATCCATATTTCAGAAATGCATTCTTTTACCTAGGGTGCATAAAGCACCACATACTCACGAGGACAGTACGATACTTGGTAAGTCAATAAACTCTTATAGAAAACTAGTAAGGACAGGTTACAGAACTTGAGCTCCTATAGGCGAACAAGTACTTGAACAGTAGATTCACTTGTGTTGTAAATGATCCATTTTGTCAAGGATAGACCCGTACATTACAAAGGAGAAGCCTTCCATCAGAAGAAAGGATCAGGTGAATACCACAAAGGATGAGGCCGTTTTAAAGGATGAGACTGCAATAAAGGCTAGTAGAGGAGTAGGCTTGTTGAAGGATGATTTATGAATGATGACACAGGTTTGTTTCGCAGGAAACTCTTGTAGAGGTGGATACTTCTCCAAGGAAGATATTGAGCAACACAACAGGGTTTCACAATTACAAACAATATTTGTATGAAGGAGGGAGGTTTAACCTGGGATGACACATGTTGTGCTAGGGGACGGGGAAAGCTTTCAAAAGGAGCGTGGCATAGAAGGTATTCATTCTATTTATAGGAGATTACATCCTTGCAAAGAAGAAAACGTTGAGAAAGAAAGAGGGTCAAAGCAAAACAGGAGGCTTTGTGAAGGGGGAAGGTTTTTATATACACATGACGGATAAAACGCTCGTGTTGTAAGGACACTATCATGGACAGCTTCTCGGTAGCGATGGCCAACCAAATAGCGATGGCCTCCAATCTAATAGTGACCAAAGTGGCATGATAGTCTTTCTTCACGGGATCTTTTGTGTGGAGGCTGAAGGACCAGAAGCAGGTACAAGTATCGGGTTACAGTATATGTGTTTTCAAAAAGGGTCAGACTGTACTTCTGAGCTACCTATCTAGGGGCCACAAGTGCTTTATTTCTATTTTCAACAGCAAATTCAATTGCATTGGGTTGCACAGCAAATCAAACAGAGCCTTCGATATCAAAATCTGATTCGAGCTAAGAGTGGTCAGGGGAAGTGCAAGCTTGAGAGCCGGGACCACAGCCGGGGGCACAGTGAGTTGAAACATCTTGAATATATGATATATCCTATGTCACCTACTGCCTTTCTCTTAGGTTGGAGGCCATTGCTATTAGGTTTCTTGCTGCTACTAGTGTATAACATACATACAGAATGTCACGTACTGCCATCTGGGCCAACAAGCGGCTGAGACGTGACATAGGCTTCAGCGAGATCAAGAAGGAGCAGCACAAGGCAATGAAAGAGCTTGGTGCCAATGACATCCTGAAGGCTTTTGATAGTGAGAAGGATATAGAGACGCGCTTTCAAACCGACTTTCAGAAGTTGCTACGTGGAAAGACGACGCTGCTCTGCAGCAGTTTGCCAGATGTCGGAACCAGGAACCCGGTGCTGTATGAGTTGGGTTTTCCCCAAACTCAGCAACACTGCTAACAATTGTCTGTACTAGCCCCCTAGCCCCTTATTGTAATGCTATCTTTTGTATCGACTGGATTGGGGATAGGACCTGCTGCACACACACATGCTGCATCTCAGGTATGCGACAAGCAACACAGACATGGAACATCCAGAAAATGTGCAGCTTAGACACAAGCTGTGCTGATTTCTGTGTACTTTTCAAGTTCTTTTCCCTTGTAGGTTGTTTATGACGGGTTTTGATGTGCTTGATTTTGCATGAATCTGCTGCGTGTGAGGGGAGTTCAGTTGTCAAGAAGAGTGCGATGCTCGATTTGGCTGCAATCAAACCAGTATGAAATTCTGATAGCTCTGCTCCTGTTCGTGAACGTGCTGTGGATGGCTTTTGAGCTTCAGATCTCTGGACAAGTTGCAGGTGCTAAACTTCGAATTTACCAAAACGACTTGGAGCCTTGTCCAAAACCCACTACCGATGACCTCCAACCCAATAGCGACCTCCAACCCAATAGCGATGGCCTCCGACCTAAGAGCGATGGCCTCAAACCTAATAGCGATGGCCTCCAACCTAAGAGCGATGGCCTCAAACCTAAGAGTAGTGGCCTCCAACCTAAGGGCGATGGCCTCCAACCTAGTATATAGCAATGGCCTGCAACCTGATAGCGATGGCCTCCAACCCAAGAGTAGTGGCCTCCAACCTAAGAGCGATGGCCTCCAACCTAGTAGCAATGGCCTGCAACCTAATAGCGATGGCCTCCAACCTAATAGCGATGGCCTCCAACCTAAGAGCGATGGGCTTCAACCTAATAGCCATGGTGGAGGCCTAATAGCGATGGCCTCCAACCTACTAGCCGAACCTAATAGCGATGGCCTCCTACCTAGAAGCAATGGCCTCCAACCTGAGATTAGTGGCCTCCAACCTAGTAGGGATGGCCTCCAACCTACTAGTGAGGAGAATGAGATGGAGTTCTGGCACAATGTGTTCTTGGTTGGCGACGTGATTTTTACAGCCTTCTTTTGTCTCGACGTGACCGTCCGCATTGCTATCATACGGACTCTTGGTTCAATTTGAAACACTGACTTGTAAGAAAGCAAACATGCAGCCTTACCTCTATAATCGTGTGCATTGGAAGGTCAGAGTTCTTCAAGGTGTGTTTGAACTACATTGATGTGGCAGTCAGTGCAACTTCGTTGATTGAAGTGACGGTTTTCTATACGATGACGCTGCCCATCAATCCCATGCTCTTTCGTCTTCTACGGATCGGGAAGCTGGTCCGGGCGGTTCGAATGGTGCACATGACCAACATGCAACTTGCAAGAAGTGAGGACGCTACTAATAACAAAGGGCATTTCTACTAGGAGCAAGGACGCTACTAGTAGCTCCTGGCATTACTGCTAGGAGCAATGTTCGCTACTAGTTTTACACTTTGCAAGACACAACTGTCTCCACGGTGAATAGGGAATGAATTGTGTAGGGTTGATTTTTCAGCCAAGGCTGGCGTCGCTGCAGCTGTTGGTGAAATGCATCTCTGCTAGCCTCAACATGCTATTCTGGAGCGAATCCACATACACTCTGAACGAACACTTTTGAAAGGCCTTTATAGAATACAGAATACAGTTTGTTGAAGCTACTAGTAACAGGTGCCACGCTAGTAGTAACAGGTGCCTTACTAGTAGTAACAATGTTTGTTCCCGTTGGTTTTGCATCAGGTCTGTGGTCTCTTGCGGATTGGACGTGCTGTGTGTTTTGTGTGGCAGGTGCAGCCTGGCCAGATTTCCGTGCCTGTTTTAGCCTGAACTTCTTTCAGGTTTTAAGATATGGTACAATACTGATTAGGTTGGAGGCCATCCCTCTTAGGTTGGATGCCATCGCTCTCAGGTTGGAGGCCATTGCTTTTGGGTTGGAGGCCATCGCTATTAGGTTCCTTTTGCTATTAGATTGGAGGCGATTGCTTCTAGGTTGGAGATCAAGTGCTGGGAAGTGCTTTCGAAAGTATGCCCAATAGAGCTCGTGTGGTTTCAATCCTGTTGAGTTCAGTGGAGCTGTTGAGCCTCGGGTATCCTTCTCCGTAATCCGCAGTCTTGTCACACAAGAGGTCCTTCAGAGCCGTGGTCAACTTGGCACGGTGCATGGTACTAGTAGCGAACATTGTTACTACTAGTAAGGCACCTGTTACTACTAGCGTGGCACTTGTTTCTACTAGCTTCTTGTTACTACTAGTAAGGCACTTGTTACTAGAAGCGATGCACTTGTTCCTAGTAGCTTCTTGCTCCTAGTAGCGATGCCCTTTGCTCCTAGTAGATTCTTGCTCCTAGTAGCGATGCCAGGAGCCCCTAGTAGCGTCCTTCTTTGTATACGATAATGCCACCTTTGACCGAACCTTTCGCATCTGAACATGTCTTGTTGCAAGGTCTGAGCGCTCAGAGTGTAATCTCAGACGCATTCGTCCGATGGAACACAAGCCCTTGGTGCAACATTTCTCGCTTGTAGCTTTCGTTGAAATAAGTAGGAGCTAGAAGCTACTAGTAACAAGTGCATCGCTACTAGTGACAAGGACATTACTACTAACTACTCGTAGCAGGAAGCTTACACTTTCCCGAACACGTTTCACACAATGAAGGAATAAAGTGGCTTCTAGGTTGGAGGCCATTGGAGGGCAACGCTAGTGGCTGGAGGCCATCGCTCTAGAGAACTTTTGCTCAAAAGGTTCTGCTCGCAGGCTCCACGCAGACATGAGTGGAGCACGAATAAGCACACCATCGACTTCCAGGAACCCTACTTCTAAACGTCTTCTCAAATAGCAAATAACAATGGCCTCCAACCTACTAGCGATGACCTACTAGAAGCAAGGGCACATGGAGGGGGTTTCCCATGCGCTACAAAATCAAGGGGCGCAACTGTCTTCACAGCAGTCAAGGAACTTGTCTGGTTACCAAAATGTCCATGTGCTTCTGTTCGCTGTGTTTGAACTTGTTCCGCGAGTTCTACATTTGCTGGACTGCTACCGTAGATCTTGTTTGATGTGATCTTTTCGGTTAGAATCTACGCAGGAGTTTTTGCTTGCTGGTCTTCTTTCAGTGCGTGGCTGGGTTGATGATCAGTACACTCTGTCGCGACTTCATCAACGATCCGACTCAAGATTCTCAGATGAGGGAGGAGGTTTTTTTGCAGCTTGCAAGCACGAAGGCAACATGTACTGAATCAACAAGTAGCGTAGTATCTCGCTACTAGAAACAAGGGCATCGCTACTAGCAGCTAGAAGCCACTAGTAGCAAGAGCAACCATGTGATATTTATTGTCTTTCCACCTCGGACGCTGACTGCAGGTACTACGGAACCTTCACCAGAACATTCCTTACAATGTTTGTCACTTGGGCGAGAATGACATCTCGGGAACATGATGAAATGTTTAGTAGTAATGGCCTCCAACCTACTAGAGACGGCCTCCACCCTAGTCGCGATGGCCTCCAACCTAGTAGCTATTTGCTACTAGTAGTACATGCAATGTGAGGAAATCTTATTTGCAAATTGGGGGCCTTCTTGCCGGATCCTGGTTGAGTCGATCAGCGAATGGTTCCTCGGTGTCAAGACTTGGAAACACAACGCTATCATTGCGAAATTTGTCTCAAACGAACACCTCCATATCATTGGCCACCTCTATAAGCTCCATGTTCCCGTAGGGGTGGCATTGATCCATTTCAGGTTCTGGAAGAAAGCCGTTTTGCAGGTTTTGTCAATCTTTGCAACGCAAGCAAAACGTATATCAGGCAACCAGGAATGTAGCGCGTGTCGCGGTTTCCTGTTGCTTTTTAAACTCCACAGGTTTACGCTCTTTTTCTTGCTCTATCGCTGTGTCCTTGGCTTTGCCGCCACTTGGACAAGATGAGATCGGCATGGGGGACGTCTTACATATCGTAGCGTATCGCTATGTGCACATTTGTTTTTGTTTTTTGCAAACTTGGAAAAGAATACTGTGACAAGTTCACGTTTAGATTGGAGGCCATCGCCTCTAAACGTTCATAGACATCTTTGCCCAGGTCTTGAATGTGGTGAACTCTGCGCCTCAGAAGGAAAGATACAAATTGACCAACTGTCAACACGCCGCAGTTGGACTTTCAGGTCTTTGTCCAGCAGACCATGAAGACAGCGAGCTCTGATGAGGAGCTGGCCTTCAAACAGAAAGAGAAGGACTGAAAATTTTCTTCCTTTTCTTTTTCTTTGTTTCTAAATAGCGATGGCCTCCAACCTACTGGTCAACCTACTAGCGATGGCCTCCAACCTACTGGTGATGGCCTCCAACCTACTAGCCATGGCCTCCAACCTACTGGTGATGGCATCCAACCTACTAGCGATGGCCTCCAACATACGGGTGATGGCCTCCAACCTACTAGCGACGGCCTTTAACCTACTGGTGATGGCCTCCAACCCACTAGCGATGGCCTCCAACCTTAATAGCGATGGCCTTCAACCCAAGAGCGATGGCCTCCAACCTACTAGCCATGGCCTCCAACCTACTAGCCATGGCCTCCAACCTACTAGGGATGGCCTCGAACCTAGTAGCGATGATGGCCTCCACCCTACCAGCACTGATGGCCTCCAATCTATTACGACGGTCTGACACACCTGCCGCAAACTTTATCCATGATCACTTCTCCCAGTGCGCGTTGCTTTGGCTAGCGGTGTTGCTATCAGCCGACAATGAAGCTTTGGTAACAAGGTTTTGGCAGTATATTTGAAGCTGTCACGTGATTGCTTTCGGAAACTGTTAGAAGAATCCATTTGCAGCATGAACACTTGACTTGAACCGCGGGCTCACAGTGGCCCAAAGCCGTTTGATGGAATACGGGCGATTCCGGTGCGTTTGTTTTTCTTTCATGGTAGCGGAGCCGGCCAAAGCGCCGGCTCCCGCGGTCCCGCAGCGCTTGACATGGCGGCGCGGCTTTTGTGTGCAGCTGGCCTGGATCTTGATGGCGGCGATCAGCGCTTGCAGTGATGACATGGACGACTTCATCTACAAGCAGGAGCGCGTTGACTACATCGACTACAAGTTCTGCGACTGCGAGATCCAGCAGAAGGAGGTGGTGAAGGACTTCAAGGTGTTGAGTGAGGATGGGAACCTCAGCTTTGGCTGGTTGGATGACAGCCTGGCAAAAGTCGGGGATGGTTCCTTGTGGTTGGCAAGGGGCTTGGGGTGGAGCCTGAGCGATGTCTTCGAATTCCAACAAGTCGGGGATTGGAAGCCGGACTTTGAAGAGCTCTTTGGCCAGCGCGTGGACTATATGAGAGATTGGAGAACGTGACCAACTATGACATGATCTTCGGCATCAATCCAACCTATGTCCTGGTGAATTTGGATTGGTTTGCAAAAGTATCTACATTTTTGAATTCGACGGGCACGCGATTCTGAAGGTGGTCTCTGTGCTTCTGGCTGGACTAGCCGGTGTTTTGGTGATCCAGCAGAAGAAGAAGAAGAAGAAGAAGAAGAAAGAGCCGAAGTTGATCACGGGCCACTTGAGCTATAGCAAGAAGAGAAGATGGATTGGCAGCAGTTGAAGGAGATTTGAGTGGCGCCTACAACTGAAGACAATGATGCTGCTCACACTTTGGACCAGTGCCAATGCCATGCTGAACAAGCTCGCCAGATGTTCATGAAGATGGCGCAGATGACTGGAGGTGGCAACCATGGCGCAGAAGATGGACAAGAGGAAGGACTCTGGCAGCGTTGGACAAGCAAGCAAAGTACTTAAGATCCCTGACAGATACGAAGGAGACGATCCCTTGAGGTACGCAGCTAGGAAGGAGCATCTTACCATTTGGCTGACATATGGAGACCATCGCTTTGCTGGTCTACTCCGCGATGTAGAAGCCATTGATGAAAATTGCCAGTTGTCTATTTTGCTCCGGAAGATGTGAAGGAATTGGCGCATCGTCTGTTCGCCATTTTGGCGTCTTACATCAAACAAAGGCCCAGCCCTCCAGTTCATTCGAGCTGAGTCGACTGAAAAGAATGGTTTCTTGGTTTGGCAGCAACTCAAGAACATCTACATACCAAAGGCCAGACCACGTATCATGGCTATTGGGCAAGCGACCATGGGTTCCCTGACAAGAAGAGCATGATGGAGAATTTGCTTCAGTTGGACTTCTTGCTGGATCAGGCCGAGCTATGCCAGATGATTTGGTGGCGTCCGCTGTTTCGAGGTGCGTGGATGCCAATGTCAGAAAGCACCATGAACTGACCATGGATGATTCCTTCGACTACCAGCAGTTGAAAGCGCCTCATCGCGATGGACAAGAATGCTCGAGTTTGTCTGGAGACACTTACTTGAAGCTGGTGCAAAACTCGATGAGTGCTTCGAGCTCTACTGGACCAGTGCCGATGGATGCCGATCAAGTTGGACAAGTTGCGAAAGGTAACAACAAAGGAAAACAGAAAGGCAAAGACAAGAAAGGAGGTGGCTGGTTTCCATATGGCTATGGTGGCAAATATGGTGGTAAGAATTCCAAAGGGCAAGAAAGGAAAAGGAAACCAGCAAAATGGCAAGGGCAAAGGTGGCGGCCAAGATCGCAATACACATCGTGTGCGCGGACAACAAGGCCATTGGGGCGAGAGTTCAAAGCGCAATGGAACTCAGACTGTCACTAATCAGACCCAGAATGCCAACAGCGTTGCCGAAAGTGAGACTGCCAGCTCAACAGGTGGAAAGGCGAGAAGTGTCTTTTTGAGACAAAGCCACAAGTGAGACAAGTTTGCGTGTACCACGCTGCTACCCACCAATGACAACACGCCAATGATGTTTGACGACGAGAGCGAAGGAGGAGATAGCTGGTTGCTCAATGATAGCTACCAGATCAACACCGTCTACTCTGTCATGGACGATGAATCGGACCATGAAGAGCTAGAGAACCCCTATGACAAGACATGGTGGTGGTACATGGATGTTCGCTCATGAGATCGAGGTGAGGCGTGGAGACCTTTTGTATCTGCGCTGTCAAGAGAGCATTCAACGTACTCTGATTGCGCTGGATTCTGGATCTGACATTAGTCTTCTTCCACAGTCAACGGCTCATCATGGGAAGCAAAGCAAACCGGGCAGGCCGTTTTGGATGATGCTCAAGGAGCTCACATTGAATGCGACGGTGAGAAGGAGACGGTGATGATTGAAGATGACTTCGTGGTGGCTTCAGTGCAATCCCCTTTGATTAGTCTTGGACGGCTTCTTCAGTGTGGCAGTGGTGAAGCAGGTGTGCAGATATAGAATACTCAATTCCCTTGCACTCCAAGCGAAACTCTCTAGCCTTGTATGGTGGTATTGGCCGTGTGACCCATGAACCAAATGAGCTTCGACAGGTCTATGACGACAATCCTTGGTTGTGAAGCTGCGTGATAGCTTTTGGGAGCACTATGGGCTTAGAGCATGGAAGAAGGCAATCCTGTGACGTTCAGCTGTGAGACCAAGAACTTCATTGATGGCCAGCTCATGTGGAATTTGAATTGGTGGCTTCTTCGCACGACTTTGATCAGGAAGATGGACAAAGCTTGGGAGTTGGTGGAACATTGCAGCCGATACTACGCACTCACGATCCTTCACAGGAAGAAGGAGCCTATCAGCTTCTTTGGCACCTTGGTAGGAGAAAAGACTGTCACGGTAGGTGGAGGTCAGGTTGATGAGGAGAGTTTTCAATTTGCAGCAGGACCAGCAGTTCCTTTGCAGCTCAATCCGGAGCATGAGGAGACACCAGAAGAAGACATCTACCCTTCTTTGAGAATCCTGAGATGCTTGTGGTCAATGTTGCTGATCTGCAAGAGACAAGTTCATTGGCGGTGCTGAGAGAAGCAGCTGAATACCTGGGCGTTGGAAGACCTGTGGACACATTTGAACCAACAAGTGCAGAAGTTAGAGCAGAACCAGGAGCACTTTGTGACTGCCAACAGGTTGTTTCGCGAAAACCAATGCAAAGGATTGGGATCCCGCCAGGTACCACGACAGCCGACAGAAGAAGAACGGCAGCTGCGTGAACTTACCCATGTACCTTTTTGCGCTTGGTGCGATTTCTGCATAGCGTGCACACCGCCCACTTGATCAATCAGATGAAGGTCGAAGAGCCGTACCAGCAATCCAATTGGATTTTGCCTTTGGCCGTTCACGGCCAGATGAGACAGCCCCTCAGAAAGACCTTGTGACAGTTTTGGTGGGTGTGGACGCTGAAACAAGAATGATGTTAGCTGTGCCAGTTGCATGATTTGAGAAACCAGGCTGAACACGTGGCGCGGTTCAGTCTGTTTTTGAACCAGTATGGCAATGTCGAGATCTTCGGAGACAGCAAGCCTACCGTGAAGGCGCTGTTGAGCTATGTGAAGACTCTATGTCGAGGCTAGGCCTCGAGACCACGATTACCTTCAGCGTGAAGAAAGGCAGACAGGCCGAGTTGAAAGCGGCGTCCAAACCCTACGAAAACAGACGTCGACCTTGATGGGTATGTTGCAGCGCAAGTGCGTGATCAATTTGGCAGGTACATGTTGCCTGGATTTTGAATGGGTTTGCGTCCCATCGTTTTCTCCAAGCTTCCTTCACCTTATGAGATTGCTTTTGGCCCAAGATACTGTGGGAAAGTGGTGTGCTTTGGAAAGTATGTCATGGTTCTCAACAAGCAGCCAGGTGCAAAGCAGGGTCCACAGTGGTTGCCTGGTGTTCGGGTTTGAAAGACTCATGAATATGATCTTCATTTGGTCATTGGCAATTCTGGTTTGAGAGGAAAAGAACGACCTTATCGAAATCCTCATGCCCGGCGACCTTTCAAGTTGATCCTCGCCACTCCCACGATTCCCCGTGAAGTTCGAGGACCTGGACGTGCTTAGAGTGTTGGCAATGCAGACGGCGGATTGCAGACACCCATGAAGTTGGCAATCGAAGACCCACGCAACGCCAGAAGAGGTGAAGAACTCTTGGGTGGTAGTGCAGCAACTGAGCCTCAAGCAATGGCAGCCAAGACCGATCCAGCAAGTAGTCCCTCAAGCTTGCGCGCACCTTACTTTGCTGGTGGTGTTCAACAAGTACAACATCCAATGAACGACGACCCTTGGGAGGAGGAGATGGAGTCTTATATGGACCACGAAGATACTCAGACATCGGCGCGTTGGACGAAGGATGCCCTCCAGAAGTTAAAGCCCAGCCATAGAGGAGGCTGCTGGACAAGAGGAGATTCAAAGGTTGCTGAAGACGGGGGTTGTGAGTTGTGCGAGGCGGAGGATACTGATGGCCCAGAGATATTTGGAGACCTTCACTGACAGTGACTAGGCAGGTGACAAGAGCAGCGACGCAGTATAAGCTCTGCCCACATGTTAATGGATGCGAGCATTGCTCTGAGCTGCTGTGAAGCTGAATTTCTGGGAGTTGGACGGCTCAAGCGCATCAACGTCAAGTACCTTTGGATGCGGTTGGAGGTGAAGAAGAAACCCTGGTGATGGAATGTGTTCCAACTTTTCTGAGCGTCTCAGATTTGGGAACCAAACTTCTTAGCTGACAGCGTCGTGAATTCCTGATGTACCTGATTGGCATCGTGCGCATGAACGCAGAAGGAAAGGGCGAAGTGCTTGCAAAAGTTGGAGAAGACACCTTTCACAGAGAACTTGAAAAGAAGATGTTGGCAAAGAAGATGAAGGAGGTGAAGAAGGAGATGGTGCAAGCAGTGTTTGCCAATGATGAGAACTGGGGAGTGAAGATTCCGACAAACCTGGTGAGCCTTCAAGATTGCAGTGGCCCACACCATGTTTGCGCACCTTCGGCGTCTTTATTAGCTGCGCCTACAGAACGAGAACCTCCATTTTCTTCAGAACGTTGAATCGCTTTGGGAGACAAGAGACTACAATGAAGTTGCAATGTGAACAAGACACGCAAGAGCAAGTGGGCATGATTTTGAGGGCAAGCGTGGCAGCTGGAATTGGAGAATGGCAAGTTGAACCCGGGCAGAGACAGTTTGAACCCTTGCAGCGACCAGAACCATCAGAAAGCGCAGAACCAGCCCATGAAGCCGAACCAGAAAAATAGAAGATGGCCAGATTCGGGGAGTCTGAACCAGAGGCAGAAGAGGATTCGATGGAGATGCTTTGATGCGCGCTTGGCCAGCAGAGATGGTCACAGATTGGAACCCTGAGACGGGAATGATGCAAGACTACAGGGTTTTGGAGAACTCCGACAATGCAGACAGTGGAGTGGAGAGAAGTACTTCATGAGCAATCCTTTCGGTCGATACAGGCGGAGATACCGACCTACAAGTTCAGAAAGAAAAGGAATCTGACAATGAACCAAGCCAGGAAGAAGCTCCATGAATGTTGGCTTGGAAGGCAACCCGGAAAGGCTTGAAGGAGTTTGGGCTGATCCACATGGTGAAAGTCCGCCAGTAGGGCTGAAGCCTGAAGAGCAGCCACGAGCAAGGAAATTGAAAGAATCTTGGATTTTCTCCAACCGCCAGATGAAAGAAGTCTTGCGGGTGCGGCTGACTTCAACCTAGCTCTTCTACTATGACATGGTGTTTGACCACCTATAGGGGTGGACAGAAGAAGAGTTGCGAGATTTCGCCGCCTTTTGCGTGGCATTGTTGAGCGGGCAATGGGAAGATGACTTTGAAGGTCATGTACAGCGCCATCTCGATAGCGGAGAAGTTTTTGGCGAAAAAGATGCGATTTAAACCCACAGCATCGCGCTTTTTTGGTGGAGTGTTAGAAACTTCCACTTGCAGCGTGAACACTTGACTTGAACCGCGGGCTCACAGTGGCCCAAAGCCGTGTGATGAAACACGTGCAATTCCGGTGCGTTTGTTTTTCTTTCAGAAACACAAACCCTGCACTGTTGTAAAGATTAGTTCACTCACAAAGTGATCAACGCGACGAAGTTTGCCAGGACGTTGCCCAATACATGCGGAAGGTGAAGAAGCTTTTCCAAACTATGGATGCGTCCGGTGATGGTTCCATCAACCTTGAAGAGTTCTCCAAGCTGGTCAAATCGCCTAAGTTGAAGTACTTCGGCTACTGGTAGTGGAAGATGTGCAGGAACAGAAACAGAGAGGTCATAAGGGTCGTAGGAGAAAAACAATCGAAATCACCAGAGAGACTTTAACAGCAAACGCGTGTTGAGCAAAGATAGGGACAACACTATTGACAAACCCAATCCCTCCCTCACTCTGCTGCACACACATGATACAGCCACGGTTGTATTACCGTCGCTGCCTTACAGGACATCACGGTAGCATTCATCGCCTGACGCACTGCGTGACACGTTGCGTGGCCGCGGCAAGTTGATGGCTTGGAACACCAGCCCTTCTTGATATGTGCCATGCCGGGAAGTGTCATTATAGGGCCTCTGGCCTCAAACCCGCAAGTATGAACTTGAGACCCAAGACGCGTGTAGGTTTTGGGCCTCTGAAAAAGGGCTCGATGAACACTTATTTGTTTTCACCGAGAACATTTTGGAGCTGAACCGGCAAAACTACCAGATGAATCGCCTGGTTACGATTGCTGGGTCGCAATGCCTGCTGCTATGCACCGAACCCTGTTAGGTACAGCTAGGCAAACTCCCAATGTGACATGCGTGGATGAGAAAAGTAGCGTCTAACTTGCTGGACAAGTTGGAAAACTGTTGCTGCGAGGGACACGGGGCAAACTCCGTCTTCGAAACCGCCACGTGTCCAGTCGACATTCAAGGTGGGCGCCGCTGCGTGGCGTGAGTGCGCTCAAAATGCTTCCGGATTGCGCATCCTCAAGCTGCAGAGGGAGAACCCTGAATCCAGTTCATCCCAAACGGTGTTGCAGCGTGCTGGGACACATGCTTTAGACAGTTCATGGAGCAAGATCGCTGACAACTACAGCTGAACCTTGAGCCTCAGCAAACCTGCTTCCCCCGACATGACAACCGTTTCACGGCAGCCCTGAAGCTGACGCCCGCCCTTGTTCTTCCATAAAACAATGTGCGTTTATGAGACATCGCGTCGAAGAGAAGAGCCCCTTGCAAATGTTTGACTCGGCGCAGCGTGAGAATCACAAGCGCAACCAACATCAACGCGTTTCAGTGACCATCAGCGCACGCCTTCGCGTCACCTTTCATTACTTGACAAAGCAGCCCGCCGCTTCGCCCGACGAACGCGTTTCTGTCATTTGAATCATTTGCGCGATAATAATTTGGAGGCCGTTGCCATTAGGCTGGAGGCCATTGCTATTAGTAACAAGAAGCTACTAGTAACGAAGGGCATCGCTACTAGGAACAAGGATGCTACTAGTAGCTCCTGGCCTTACTACTAGTAACAAGAAGCTACTAGTAATTCAAAAGAAGAGTTCAATCTTTTTTCCCGCCAGGTCCACAGGTTGCTTTTCGAATGTTTGAAGTGTGTGGCTTTGCGCTTTGCAGGTTTTGGATGAGCCAGTTGGAGCTGGAGTACCACGACTTGCTGAGTTTGCTTGAGTTCCTGGACAATGGAGATGGTGAGATCACGCGCCTTAACTTGACCATGGGTATCGACCAAACCTTGCAATCGTCTGCTTTTTACGATTGACCACTAATGACCAATATTGTTGGGTGGTGTCCGCAGGCAACTACGCTAATGCACCTTCTTCCCGTTCCAAAATATGTATAAATTTGTCAGGTGGCTTGGGAGCCTGGTTCACGAAGGGATTTGGGCGCTTGCCCACGACCGTAAAGTGACACCTGCATCAACAAATCTTTGGGTGGGTGCATCAAGATGTATAAAAACCCGAATTTGCGATTGCGTGGACGCCCGGCCGGCTATAGCCTGGCCTCGGCGTCGTGGGCCCGAACCGGTACGAAATCCACACAGCTTGGCATCATGGGTTTTCCTCATGACGCTACTTGGTACCACAGGCGCAGCCTCAGTGCCCGAAGACGCACCGCTATGGAATTTGGCGTGGATCCTAGTGCTGGGGACGAACAGCTTGGGGAAGGGATTCATCATCGCGAAATTCACCGCCAAAGGTGGAACCCGCGGGTCAAACCACAAAAACACAAAAACCGTATATACATGCATGCGTTTTCACCGCCCTGTTTGTTTACAAGCAAGGCGCGTTGGACGCGCCTGCGTCTCAGCGCCCCACATGCGGCGCCGACGTTGCGCCAGCAAACTGCGCAGAATGAATCCTTTTAGAGTCAGGGGCCCCCATAGCGATTACGCCGGCCACGTAGTCCACGGGTGAATTCACACCTTTTGTATTCTATCTGGGTACCAGCAACTCCGTTGGGATCACCATATCCAGGTCCACCTCCGAAATCAAGCAACAGCTTCGCAGAGCCTCGCTGAAGATTGCCTAACATACAGCAGACCTGGGCAGCCGGCTCAGCCGCCACCAAGCGCAAGCGGTTGGAAAAACACAACGCTCAGCCGACCACACACTGGCACATGCCTTGACGCAAGTGCTCCAGCAATGGCAGAGGCAAGGAGCCAACGCCAAACACACACCAGCTTCGCCAACCAGCTCCTGGCTCTCCTTAGAATGCCAAACCGAGCAAGCATACTAGCAGCCCACAACAGCAGCAGGCGATGGCGCCGATGTGGCCAGGATCAATCACGCGCCTCGTGTCACACGAATGAACTAGAGCGCTTACATTGGGCAACAGCGCCAAAATCCTACCGCCTCCATGGACCAGCCAAAAAGTTCAAATCAGCTACTCCGGCGCCGCGGACAAGCCGTAGAAGGTGTCACCCTGTTCGCTCTGGGTACCGAAAGGAAAAACAATTTGCCTTCAAAGCCAGGGCAAAGTGCCAGGACTTGAGGTTCGGACCAAGATTTGGTCCCAATGCCAACGCCACAAGAAGGCTCAACGACCCGATGAAGCGTCGGAAGGCTCAGTCACCGGCAAATTCCACAGAAGCCAATGGCGCGAAACCATGACGGGTCGTGTGCTCGGAGCGGTTCGTGTGGGTGAAGACGACCTCCGGGACCTCCAGCTCACCGTGCCGGCCACAAGATCAGGGTTGCTTCTTGGAACATGAATTCCTTTCGTAACCACTTCTCTGCCGTCCGCAAAATCATTCGCAAGTCCAAAGCTCTACAAGAAACCGGCGTCATCATTGCAGGTTTTCCGTTTGCCACTAATCTGTGTTCCAGGTATGGATGGCAAGCAGTCTGGGTTCCGCGGACTGGCTATTTTAGCCCAGGCACATGTCTGGGGCCAACTTTTGACGTGTGAATTGCCTGGCCTTGCATCGCCGGTTACCCTCGCATGTGGGTACCGACGACCGGGTGCCGACGCTCGGGAACTTTTTCAACAACTCCGTACCAGTTTTTGTAAAACTCAACACAAACACGGGATACCCCTTTGACCGCCAAACTGCTTTCGTCCAACTTCTCAATGATCTGAATGAAGTCGGAGAGCATTTAGGCGCCCACTCTGGTCGCCTACAAAGTTCTAAGCCTATATACAGACGGTGGTTGGATTCCGGCTAGCTTGCGCAAGTACGTTGCAAGCGCGGAGTGGCTGCACAGGTTTGGCGCGCCTAAGCGCGCTCGGGGTGGCGGTCCGCGAGGACCGTGGCTCACGTGTTCGAGGCTGTAGAGAACATCGAAATTCGAGGTGCGGGGCCACGCCAGAATGGTTTCCAGCATGTCGATTGGCGGTCGGCGATCACAGCTCAGGATCGGACAGGTCCAAAACTCGTGGTGTCTATCTGGACTGGGCTGGCGACACCAACGACAAGGATCAACAGATCTCTGGGAGGTGACCTGAAGCCGTGCTTGTGAGATGTAGTAGAGCTTGAAATGGAGCCTTCTCCTACCCCACAGCCACGGGCCTTGCCATTGCGGCGGCGCCCTCGTACTCTAGGTTGGCTGCAGCCAGAGAGCTTAACCCACTGCGGATCTTAATGGCCCGGATCTACGGATCCACAAAGATCAACAGCGGAGCTTTGTTCCGTTTGCTTTCGGGTCATGCAGGGGACCCTTACTTCAGAGTCAGTCACACCGTGACCAAGCACGCACTCACAGCGGCAGCAACACAACACAGCTTGCGAGACATGTGGCCGTCTCAGCAAACCCAAGGACCCATCAACGTCACCAAGCACTGGCTCCGACGACACGGTTGGACTTGCAAAGGACCTTGGCGCTGGCAACGCAGCCAGGCGCAACTTACCCTCAATTTGTCCGGCGTTGATGATGACCGTTCACCTCCGGACGTTGTTTTCAACCTCCGCAACTACAATGTTGACCTTTTGGACCACCACCTCCGAGATGCTTGGCGGGCTCACCAATGGGCCTCCTTCCTTAAGTCAGCTAACAGAGCCGCAGCGCAGCCCTGGTCAGCAAAGCCTGGCGCAACGCGCCAACGCACCTGAAATCACATGTCAAGGCCCTGCCTATAGGGCACTACATTTCACAAGCGCGGCTTCAGGTGACCTCTGAGAGACCTGTTGATCCTTGTCGTTGGTGCCACCAACCCAGTCCTGATAGACACCACGAGCTTTGGACCTGTCCAATACTGAGCTGTGACCGCCGACCGCCAATCAACATGCTGGCGTGGCCCCACACGTCGAATTTTGACGTTCTCTACAGCCTCGCGAACCCGCGAGCCACGGTCCTGGCGGACCGCCGCCCCGAGCGCGCTTAGGCGCGCCAAACCTGTGCAGCCACTCCGCGCTTGGGCGCGGCGCACCAGCCTCTGACATTATCTGCCTCAGCTATCTAAATGCATCAGCAGCAATCTCAGCCTGCTCCACTGGTGCGAAAGATCTTTCCCAGTCGCAAGATCCGCAAGCGTGAGGTGTCTGATCGTGGATGGTTGGTATGACTGGCAATGCCCAGTTTGCTCGGAGAACTTCCGAGTCAAAGGCCATAACAACGGTCAGTACTACAAAAATAAGCACCTGAAGATGATCCACCAGCAATCTCACTCTTCGTTGCCACCTCCGGGCCAAGCAAACGCAGCAAATGGTCTCAGCTGAGGATCAGCGCGACCTGGTCCACATCCAGTCAGCCGGCCTCACATCTTGCGCCCGAAAAGGGTCGACAAACGGCGTGTACCATCAGATTTGCACTTCCACCACCATCCCGGCCATGCGAGCCAAATGGTGGTCCAAACTGTCCTGCGACCAAAAGCAACTGTTGGCATCCAAGCTCGGCTTCTCCCTCTCAGACTGGGATCATCGATTTCTTCAAAAGATCCAAGCCAAGCGTAAAGGATACCCATGCCAAGGTTCGGCCAAAAACCTCGAGGCCCAGCATTCAATATCGCAAAAGGATCTCAGATCAGCACAAAGCCTGGCGTGAAACCCATGCCATCGCAGCCAATGCCTCCCAGGCTTGTGGCGCGGTCAATGGCACCAGTTCTTTTCCAACCTGCTTTGCCGCTGCACTTAAACAAAGCACGAAAATCATCCCTGGATTCGTCCCTTTCAGCTCTCAACGGTGCCTCGGCTATCCAGCCATCCGCGCCTCCCTCCAGCAGCTATTCGACTTCTTCCTCGCTCTCCGCGCCTCCTCCCTTGCCCGTGTGGGGCGTCCGCAACTTCGAAGGGTCGGGGAGGTCAGCGCAGTGCGGGATCCTTCGCGCTGGGGGAGCATACGCTGGCTCCGTTCTCTCGATCCGCGTCCAGCACCATCTCTCCGACGCGACCGATCTCAGACCCTTTTGCCCGCCTCGCGTTCCTTTGCATAGGCGGCGGCCTCGGTCTTGGATTTGGACCATGGGGGCGACTGCCACTGCGATGGGTCGGAGGGTCCTGGCTCGGCCCACGTTCTCCCTTCGGCTCTCTACCGGCGATCTGCATCTTCTCGGTTCGGCCACCTCCATATCCTTCAGCGCAACATCGACTCTGGGTTCCGCCGTGGCGATGACTTTTCTTGAGCTTGCAACCTCCGTTCAAGCCTCCATCATCTTGCTCCAGGAAACATTGCTCTCTCCTTTGGGAGCCACTCAATTGGCCAACAAACTCTGGCAGTTTTTCCATCAAAGCGGTCGCCGCAATCACGATGTTTACACCGGTGGCGTGGCCATTCTCGTCCGGCGCGACCTTACTTGCGCCTTTGTCGCTTCTAACACCGGCAATTATGGCGAGTGGATTTCGGTCGCTGTTCACAACTTCTTCATTACATCAGCGTATCGCCGCAACAACCTCTCGCAAGGGCAAACGCATACTTGGAATTTGCGCCTCACAGATCATCTTGCTTCTCTGCCGGCACGCCCCTGGCTCGTGGGCGGAGACTTCAATCACCTGCCTCAAGAAGACGTGCTTTGGCCTTACAGCGCTCTATACTCTCCGCTCAGGTGATTTATCAGGCCCAATTTGGCCACTGCTCCTGAGGATGTTCCTTTCCCAGGTCTCCACCCGGTGGGCTTCTGGTCGCTGCGTTGATTGGTCGCTTCAGCGGGACCTCCATGTCCCACCTTTTCACCGACAAGAGAAGTTCAGCGATGGCAAAATTCTTCAGGATCTTGATCTACCTTCACAGCTACCTGCTGCACCACTTTGTCAAGACCAAACTACTCTCGCACAGGCTTGATTCAAGATGTGGGAAGAGACTTGAGAACTCACTCTAAACTTGGCGT